TTGTGCACAAGTGCTGCTATCCCTAGGGCCGCTACTGTAGTAATCAGGAATTGTTGTGAAAGTTCCCATTCAACCATTGTCTTAGCATATTGGAAGATGACTTTGCATTTATTCATGGTCTTTGTTTCAGTGCAAAGAGTGGGGATTTCTGTTAAAGAAATTATTTGGCCATCACCTTGGCACAGGGGACTACGGACATCTTGTCGTGGACCACAGTGCAATGCTGTTGCGACATTTTCGTTCCCTATATAAATATTCTGGCCAAGGATTTGAGTCTTCACACAAGCTACACAGGCAGTTGTATTCCAGGGCCACAAATCATGATTGTTCAGGACAAGGCCAATCTTGTAAGTATGCATAAATTTTAAACATATAGAAATAACAAAAAATGAAAGTTAGTTATTGAAACCATGGAAAATTGCTTTATAGCTATGGTTTACAGCTACATGAAAAACTTATTGAAAAGTCTTTTTTTGCAACTAACCTTACCCTTGTAGAAACGAGTGATTCATGTTTGACATTATGGTGTCGTAGAATGCCTGGACAGCCAACTAAACACCTATTTGCAATCAGTAAATTCCATTGTTGAAAAATAACACTTATACACAAATTTTAATGTTGATGGAAACTGCTTTATCTCCAGCTTTTGTAAATTAGACATGACGTTCTGCCTTTTGAAATGGTCACATAGGGGCAGAGTTTTAATTTGAATATTTGTGTTCTGACTTGTCGGTTTAACCCGAGTAGATGTACCTTATAGTCCCACTTTACTCGTTGTTGTTGTAATACATCCAAGTTGAAATGGAATTGCTACAAGCAAGTGAAAATTTCCATTCATTTTCAGTGAACCAAATCCTTACTCACTGGTATACAACCATGCTTTTGTCACTGCGGTATTCATTCCAACAAGCAAGGGAATGCATCATTTCAGGTTAGTGTTGAGGGTTCTTTTTATGTTTATTTTATCAAAATGTATTTGAATTTGAAAAGTTTACACAGAGAGCTGGAACAGGTGTGAAACTGGTTCAGCCAGAATTGCATAAAAAGAAGGAAGAAAAATTATAATTTGTTTCATGCAGAGATGGTGTCCTATACTCCATTGCTATATGCAGCTGATTCGCGTTTGCTGCATGACTGAAGTTCATTGTTTTGCTAACCAAATTTACTTACTGAGTGTGATTTTATATTGTGTGTCCCTCCTTAGGCAAGAAGAAGTTTTTTTACCGTGGATGTGGCTGGAAAAGCATTGACATGAAATCATGGACAAAGGAGAAAAGAAACTGGATAACGATGGTTTGTGACTTATTTAACCAAATGTTTGGAAATGACTTTCTGGTATACACATACACTGCTGATCATGGTACCAAAGTTAGCGATGAAGATTTGTCAAGACTACTGGAGTATGATCATGATTATTGGGAAGTACAATACGCCAATCATGTACTGAATAATACGGAGCAATCATCTATCAGAGAGGGTGTAAAAGAGAATCTTTGTAAACCAAGACCCCCTCTCAACACTGACTTGCTAAATGATGTTCCTGCAAGCCTGTTCCCCGCTAATTTGGGCAATGACCAACGAGATGATGTACCTGCAAGTGTGATGCAAAATTGCCAAAGTCAAAGTTCACCAAAGCCCAAACAAGAAATGCATGAGGACTCTGATGACTGCAAAATTGAGGATGTAACATCTTCACCACAGGGTCTTGCCAAAGATGTCTCCAACATAGAGGCCGATTTATGTGCTCCCTTGCAGAATGATGTCCCTCAAAATACTGTTCCAGAGTTTCAGAGTCACCAAACACCTGAGCAGGTGACTTGTGAAGACACCATCGATGATATGTCAGCAGAATCGCTTGTCAGTGGAAGTTCTTGTTTTTCTCCCATCACTGAAGGAGGGCGACTTGATGGATCAAACCAGGCTGCCTTACGTGTCTCTATGGATGAAGCCACCACAAGAGCGGAAGTGGCTGCACTATTCAACCTAATACCACCTATATCAAGTAAACCGTCCTCTGGTCTTCATCCAGTTCGTGATGCTACAACAATTTCTGATCCGTTCACATTGAATATGCGCCCTTGTGAAAATGTTGTCAAGGAAGCTGAAAAGCTTCTTGATGATGAAACGAATAAGGGAAACCATCCATCTGGTATCAACATAGTGGGTATTGGACAGTTCTCCGAACGTGGATTATCAGTTTTGAAACAGTTTTGCACCATAGCAAATACTAGACATAAGGTGTGTTCTGAGGCAAATTGGCTCAACCAGTTGAGGTGCTCATCACCAGATTTAGTGAGGATTCAGGAAGCCCTTTGGCACCAACCAGCCACTAATATAATCCTTAGGTTTGGAAAGAAAAGTATTGACGTTACTTCATTTGCAGATCTTGCATTGGAAAGGTATATTGACAGTTTTGTAATAGACATTTCCATAGGAAAGTACTTAGAAGAAGCAAGAATGAACGGAAATGACAATACACTTTACTTTCCTTCAGAATTTTATGACTGGATGAAAGCACCCGACATCAATTTCAAGAAAAAGTGGATGGCGAGAACAGCATCTGAATTGAAGAATTTCAACACCCTCCAGCAAATATTAGTCCCAGTCCATATGCCAAACCACTGGGGTTTGATTTATGTCAATTTGTCAAGGATGGAAATGTACTTTGATGATGGACTAAGATATGTTCCCCCATTTACAACCCTTCCCACAATCAAAGATTTGTTGGAACTGCTGACAATTATGTATCCATCTCATGCGACCCTCCAAACAAAGTTTTGGGTAAACTGCAACCACTTCAAACGATTTGGAATGCCAGATCAAAGAGTGAATGATTCGAAGATGATTGGTGCTGGGAGCTGTGGAGTTGGTGTTATCATGGCAGCAAGAGACTTCTTGGAGAGGGGCCCTTCATGTATCAACAGCTTTGCGTGGAGATACAGTGACATGGACTTGCATCGGAAAAACCTTATGCTTCAGATTCTTGATTGGGCCCGCGTGTAAATTTAGTTTGTTTAGCTTGCAGTGACAATGCTCCGGTGCAGTTCGTTTAAATTGAGCTGTTGCTATCTCACACCAAAATTTATCTTTTGTTTCCTGTTGATTTAATTTCCTTTTCAACTAACTTTAAACTATTCTGTCTTTTTTGGGTGGTCAGTTCATTTGAGCTGTTGTTATCTGAGGGCAGAATATAATTC